TCCCAAAACACAACAAACTCACCTTGCCCGAAGCCCCTTTGCCGCCGGTCACAACCCATGCCGCCGTCCCATTGCATTAGCCGCCGGCCTCCCACCCCTTTGCCTCTTTATGGTATTTCCTAATTCAAGGGTGGGATTAATTGGGGTAATTTGAAATTCAAATTCACCAAAAAAAATTTGAATTCAAATTGTTTCCTAAATTAGCTCTTCTATTTTAGGAAAGTATGTGATTTAAATCTATTTTGGATTTTAAATTCAAGAGGATTTAAATTAACTATTTCCTAATTCTAAATCCTAAATTAGGAAGCCTTAATTGCTCTCCTCAATCAAGCCCTCACCTAAGCATGCCACCGGCCCCATGCTCTCCTCCATTAATTCCCTTTCAAATTATTTCCTAACTCCAACACCTCTCTTAGGAAATATTTCAAAACTCTCAATCTCCCTCTTGGATGATTTTATCAATCACCTCATGCTTGCTATTACGTCCCAAATCAATTAATTCATTTAAGGCAATCAAACTCCACCCATCCAGCATCCCGCCGTCCCTCTCCCTAGCCAATTCTCCCCCTCTCATAACTCCTCTCCACATCCTAATTACCGATGATTTCTCTTCCATAATTCTGGTTGCTAAAAACTCTCTCCTTCCAACATTGACAGTTAATTCCCATCTCAGATTTCTGAGAGGAAAAGAAATCTGAATTATTTCAGATTTCCTGAGCAAGAACCTGAACACAATTTCAGGTTTTGGGTTCAACACTTGGAAGTATATCCCCAAACCATTATCAAGAGAAATTTATTTCACTTTGTGACTATTCAAGAGACGTATCCTATTTGCATCGAAGGAAGCCATGGACGAAGATGTTGAAGGCATCAAGTGACGGATCTACACATCTTTTTGGCAAAGGTTTCTTTTCTCACTTGTATCGTATTTCTTTGAAATCTAAATTATCATTGGCTTGATCGTAATCGCAAAGGCTCCTCCAAGTGCTCCTGCTAAGCCTAGTAAATCGTAGGTTATTGAGTGTGCTTTCTATGCATCCTAACTCTCGTTGTTAGATTAGGGATTACATTGAAAACTACTATTTTGCATTGTTTATTTGTCTTACTTATCTTGAAAATTTCAAAGCTTGGAGTATGTGATTTAGCCTACGCAAAGCGCCTCTTTGACTGTTTTAATTGACGTTGAGAATTGCTAATAATTTTAATCCAAAATTATTCTAGTCAAAGAATTGTGCAATGCTTAAAATGAAGCCATAAGCATGTCATCTAAATAGTCCTGCATCAAATTAGCTTCTCAGAGATCTATATGGTAAATCTCGAAGAATAATGTGAGGAATTCATATTTATAGCAGACAAGTCAACCATGTCTTTTACCCGTGCCGTATGATACTTTGCCCTAAATGGAGCTTGTGATTGATAAGAAGTTGCTCCCAATGCTTTAATGAGAAAGTTGATGTGCGTGGATGAGTTACAAATACATGATTAATTGATGCTAGATTGAATGTTTCACCAGCATGCTATGTTGATTCATTATTTCCATTTAAATATGGAGTGATTTATGCTGCATCATTGTGGTTATCACTAGTTGAGAACAAAAAAGTAATTTCTTCATATTAATGGCTATTTTCTTTCAGTTCAATTGATTTCTAATAAACTGATTTCTAATAGACAACGCTAACTATGAGTGACGGAAATTTTTGTTCATTCATACTAATAGAGAGAAAATTACTTGGTCTAAAGTTCAAAAGAAAAATAGGAAATATCAAGATAAGATGGGTAATATTTAGTAAATTTACTTCTAGCACATTTGGGGGTAATTGCCCATGCTAGTTACACAAAGAACGAACACAATACAAACAATAATGTTTAAATAGTTCAATATTGGGGCTTATATCCACCATGCAAAAAGGGAAAATTGAATTCATCATGCATCCAGAATGAAGGAAGAAGTACATTAAGAATAATCAAAAAATAATATCATAAAAGATCAAGGGGTTTTAAAATTATATCCTTAAGCTTCTTATGATTTTACCATTTATAGTTCCATCCAATAACTTTGTAAGCATCGCATAATATTACAAGTTAAACCATTATAAACATGGATGGAGAGGAATTCCATTTCCATAGTAGCACTACCTGAAAAGTTACAACTTGATACCCCAACAATCGCCGAATAATGACAATGTTGATGGTTCAGATTGTATTTCCCATATTCATATTAAATTATTATTTTGTAACTGGAGCCAACAAATTCATGTCTGGCTTTAACAGTAGGACATGTGGACAGTCTTGATTGCATTATCAAAGCAAGAAAATGACTTGATTTATAGGTCTCGATAATAAGCATAAGATATCATTCATTCAAATGAATTGAGAAACTAGAGATCCAAAAGGCAATTCTATCTTCTTCATGATTTAATACCTAGATCATGTATCCATAACTAATCCACCCATGCCTCCCAATCCATCGAGAATTTGCCACACATTCTAATCTAAAACATAACTGGAACAAATTAACAATAGAAATTGCACAGCCAGGTACACAAGCTGTAATATCATCATGCAAGCATCAAAATTTGAATCACATAATATGCCAATAACAATTCCAAAGTAAATTTATTTTGAAGACATGCAAGATCTCCTGAGCTCCAATAACTCAAAGCCAAAATCATAATTTAAAAGTTAACCAAACAGTTTTTATAGCAGGTAATTAAAAACATGATTGACAGCAAGAACGTCTCTGTGGTTGAAAAAAAAAATTAGAAAATGAATTGAAAATCCCGTCCTGAGTTCACAATTCAGAAAGAGTCTTTTGATGAGAATACATGAAAAACTGAATTTTTCTCATCCAAGAATTTTAACTAGTATAATCTACCCAACTAAGGCTTCGTTTGATTCGGTTTATGCTTTCATAAAAATGAGTTTTAGAAAAGGAGGTTGAGAAAAAGGCGTTCAATAAAATGGAGTTTCAATAATGAGATAAAAAAAAATTAGAAAATGAATTGAAAATCCCGTCCTGAGTTCACAATTCAGAAAGAGTCTTTTGATGAGAATACATGAAAAACTGAATTTTTCTCATCCAAGAATTTTAACTTAGTATAATCTACCCAACTAAAGCATGATGAGTATATTTCGTGACTAATTGCCCAATACTTAGTCTAGAGCTCTATTACACCTTCATAAACCATTTTTCACAAAAAAAAAGAGCTTAATTTTCAACAAAATTTTTTCTGAAAGCCCAAGTTTAGTCAGTCATCAATCAACACACGGCTATTTCTTAAATATAGATCAACCCAACCCACAACTGTCTCAAGTTAACATCACATATTCAACAGAAACCTGTAACCAGTTCATATATTTGCATGTAAATTGACATGCTTATGTGGTGTATAAAAACAGAAAACAAAACTAGCCATTCTAATTGCATATGAATTAGCAAATCTTATAACAACTACAACAAGCCTTAATCCCACTATGTGGGGGGGGGGTTGGGGACTACATGAATCCCTTTTTCTCCATTGTGTCCAGTTAAGGGTCAAATTCTCATCTAAATCTAATAAAGAAAGGTCATTTCTAATATTTTCTAACCAAGACTTTTTAAGTCTACCTCTACCTTTCTTAATATAAGTCAAATCTAATACAACTACTTTCCTGACCGGGTTATCAGAAGGACGCTGTTTTATTTGACCAAATCATCTAAGGCGACTCTCGCTACATGAATCCCTTTTTCTCCATTGTGTCCAGTTACGGGTCAAATTGTCATCTAAATCTAATAAAGAAATGTCATCTCTAATATTTTCTAACCAAGACTTTTTAAGTCTACCTCTACCTTTCTTAATATAAGTCAAAATCTAATACAACTACTTTCCTAACCGGGTTATCGGAAGGACGCCGTTTTATTTGACCAAATCATCTAAGGCGACTCTCGCTAATCTTATCTTCCACTAGAGCTACTCCAACCTTTTCGTGTATGCTCATTTCATATCCTATCTTTAAGAGTAAAGTCACTCATCGACCTGAGCATCCTTATCTCTGCAACACTTATCTTAATATTATGCATATCTTTTAAATGACCAACATTCTGCACCATAAAACATTGTAGGTCTCACTACCATCTTATAGAATTTTCGCTTAAGTTTGAGAGGACTTTTCTATCACATAACAAGCCCGATGCATTCTTCTACTTCAACCAAATATATGAAGGAAAAAAAGATAATTATATGGTGTTTTCCATGCAGTGCTATGGAGGGATACATCATAAAATTGACAGAGCATAAAGTCAACTTGTGATACCAATAACTTCAATGGAGGTGAACATATTTCATGTAACATACATAATTCATACATACATACAAGCGTAACTTATGTAAGGATAGAAGGAGAACAGCATTTACCCTCCCGTATATTATATAATTTATCCACATCTTTAAACAATTGAGATTTAAAATAGATCATCTTTCTTTTGAATGGTCAAAGCCATATTTAAACAGTTGAAGACTACTACAAATATCAATGATTCAATGATGGTGATGAATGATATAAGATGATGTGTGAAGATAAATAATGCCCCCTATCATTTATAGAGAGAGAGAGAGAGAGAGAGAGAGAGAGAGAGAGAAATGTACATATGTATGTATATATTTGCTAACTCTAAATTTAAAGTTAGTAAGGCATACCATTGCAAAGGTTAAATCCATAAGCACATAGCATAAATAGTGTCAATAATGTTAAGAGAAGGTTTCTTACATTCCGATTTCTTTCCCCGAATGGTATCATGACCATAACCAGAGTTCTATAATTGAAAAGCTTAAATATACTAACAAAAGATGAAAACAATATATAGTACAAACTCAAGCCAATAAACCCATGCCTTAAACCAAGAATCAAGCTTGATAGAACTAAAACCACAATAATGAGAAGCATGTATGGAAATTATAATAAACTATAATGAGAGGCTTTCCAAGAAAAAAAAATGTAATTTCCTATGCTACTTAGGATACCTTGCATATAGGGCGTTGAGGATCCCTCAAGTTAACAAGCAAGTTATCACTCTTCAAATCAAAATGTACAATATTCTTGCCGTGTAGGTACTCCATCCCAAATGCCACATCCATTGCAATTAAAAGGCATTTCCGCCTATCAAGGGTCCTGCATAAAATATAGAAAATATTAGCATTTTTATTTGAATCATAATCAACACTAACACCAAATTAAAAAAAGATGACTTTTCCACAAAATAAAAATAAAAAATAGAAGCATGGAAACAAAAGACATACGTATCATCTCTCTGAAGAACATTTCGTAATGAACCATTAACCATGTACTCAGTAACTGTTGCAAAAGATCCTCCTGGTCCATCTATTACAACACCATAAAATGCCACAACATTGGGGTGATGCAAATCAGCAAGTTTGCTAGCCTCATTCCAAAAGTCAGCCCTCTACATATATGAAAGACCTTGATTCGCAATCAAACTTACATGAAGAGGGAATAAAAACATTAGAGAAAGAATCTTTGGCTATGAACACAGACCATCTTTTCTTGCTCTGAAGGCTTTCCAGCAAAACATCTGTCATTAATTCTTTTAATGGCAACATCAGACCCTCTCCACTTTCCATGATACACTGTTCCAAAGGTTCCAGAACCCAATTCCCGCAACTCTTCAAGATCACTGTTCTTTATTATCTGAACAGACAATGAGGGAATCAACTATTTAATGACTGGATTATATCAATTAAAAAAATGAATATGGTAAGCAGTAAGCACACAAATATACTGACAAACCTGTAATCGTCCAATATCATTTGCCATCAGGAAGCCCATATGCAGCTTATCTGATTGTCTAGCCTTGATGTTCTGAATTGAATTTTCATAAGAAACTGAAATGCAAACAAAAATAAAAACAGAGAAAAAGGATGATTGCTTCACCTCAATTCTCTGATCACCCGGAACAGATGCACTCTGTGAATTAGAGTTGTCCTCACTCAGCCCGCTCTCTCTAAGAAATGGTGGGTTCATTTCCTTAGAACCATTAAAAGACTGTACAGACAAAGGTGGTGTAGAAGACTCAAGCACCGATTCCACGACCTGCTCAGCAAGATCATGCAGATCTTGATCTATGTAATCTGCTCCAGTGTCTAGAAGTCAAATGAAAAAAATATATAATGATTACAATCATTAATAATGAAAGATTTGAATGTTGATAATTTTATCATAAAGAACTGCTGCTTAATGAAGTGAAGCACAACCTTTTGTACCTACAATGGGATCAAGACGAGATTCCTTGATCAGCCAGTCTACAGGAGGTTGAAGAGAACCTTCCTCTAATAGCACCGCTATATCAGGACTCTGTCCCTTTGGTGAGCGGTTCTCATTAGAAGTATGAGAACATAGAAACGGTAGGCATATTTCCTCAGGTCCACTAAAAGGAGGTACAGATCCAGGTGGAGAAGACTGAAGCACCGATTCTCCCACTTGCTCAGCAAGATCACGCAGATCTTGATTTATATAATCTGCTCTAGGGTCTAATAGTGAATTGAAAGAAAAAGACATGATAATTATATTCATAATTAACGAAAAAATTTGAATGTCATAGATGAGCCATAAAAACTACTTGAAGACATTAAGCACAAACCTTTTGTACCTACAACAGGATCAGGACGTGATTCCCTGATCAGCCAATCTGCGGGAGGTTGAAGAGCGCCTTCCTCTAATAGCACCGCTATATCAGGACTCTGTCCCATAGGCAAACGGTTCTCACAAGAATTATCTCCTGAAATAGTAGGTCCTCTGGTAGCCACAATAGCTGTTCTTGGTCGACATGCATTCATGCTTTCAAGAATTTCCTGAGGATCTTCATTTCCCAGTAGTGAACCAGGTAAAAACGTCTCTCGAAATTGTCCCACTTCTCCTGGAACTAATAAACTGGACAATGGAAATGGAGCATTGCCTCTTTGGGAGGCAGCCATGCCATCAAACAAGTTCTGAGCTTGAGCTTGAGAAACTTCATCTTCCCAGGCCTTACTTGTACCCTCAGCAACGGTATTACTATAAGCAGGATCAATAATATATGGAGACATTCCTGGAATTCGTTGACTGTCCGTAAGAGGTTTAGCCCCTCTTTCAAAATTCTGTGCGCGCAACATACTACTCCCGAAAATGGTTGATGCCTGACTGGCATTAGCAAGTTCAGAAGTGTGCAATTCCATCATGTTAGACAGCAATGGATTAATTCGCCCCATTGAAGTTTCCATTGGCAGACGCCCAGTGCTTATAAAGGCATTGCTTGAAGGTAGTTTACTTGCACCATGGTGTGACTTCACCGTATTGTTGTCCTCTACAATCACTGAAGGGCTTTCAGGTCTGATTTCCCTCGAGATGCTAGTGTTCAAAACAACTGGATTGGCTGGTTTGATATACATTCCATCAGGACCAACTGCAGAAGTGATGAAACCATTGCTTGAAAGTAATGCATTTGCATCATTCGGTAGTCTGAATGCATGATTGTCTCTAACCGCATACAAATTTTCAAGTTTCATATCCTGGGCGCCAACATTAGGCACAAGAGTTGGTTTCAACAGGTCGCTAGACCTTAAAGTATCAAAGGTACTTAAATTAAGTGCTTCCATTACCCCATCAACTTGTTCAACATAGTCTTGAGCAAGGCTCGGAGGTTCTAGAACATTGTATCTTACATTATTCATTGAAAAAGAATCTTTACCACCTTGCTTGCTGATTAAAGCTTGCTTAGCCGGAAAAAATGCCGTTGCTGTTTCAGCTGGCAATTGTTGTTGCTGCAAAGACTCATCATGATGAGGCTGAGGAGGACTCTGGAACACCCCATAAGATGGTTGAACGGTGCTTGATAAACCTATTGCACCAGAAGGATGGAAAACCTGAATTGGATCAGCACCTTCAGCTAGCAGAACATTCTGTTGCTGCAATGCATCGCAACGCTGAGTTTGTGGAGGACTAAGAGAGGCAACATTTGATGCGTTAATACCGCTTGATAAGGTTAAGGTATCAGTTGGACGGAGAACCTTAGCAGCATGGAAATTTTCACCATGCAATACCTGCTTTTTCTGCTGCTGGAAAGAACCCTCAAGATGAGATTGTGCAGAACTTACAAACACTCCATAAGATTCTTGAGCATCTCCAGACAAGCCCACAGCACCCAATGGATGCCTTAGCTTAGAATGATCAATTTTTTCAGCAGTTGCGCCAAATAGCTGCTCCCTGTCTAGTGCCAAATCAGGGACCTTGTTGGCTCCATAATTCCCATATTGACAGGGATTTACAGAGTGCTCAAATTTAGGTTCCACTGAATTTTCCATCATTGCCGCAGTAACTGACCTATGCTGACCCTGCATCCTTGCTATATCCTGAGAATGATAACTATGGACTATAGGACGATCACCTGGTTCATTGACAAGCCTATCCGAATGCACATGAGGCAAAGATTTCTGACACATCTGACAATCTTCAAATATTAACAGGGGCACTTTAGACAAAGGTGGAACAAGGTGCAATCCATATGGTTCAATACTAGGTGGAGGCAAATGAGAAGGTTGCAGAGGTGGAATCTGGGAAAGAGGCTGTTGGAAAACATTATAACTATGATCTGACATAGGCTGAACAAACCTTCCACTCAATTGATCTTCCTCTGAAAAAGGATCCACCTTTCCTTTAACTGTTTTCACAGTTCCTACTTGAGCAGGCATTGAAGAAGGGGTAGTTGGCAGAAAAGAAGGATAGGTATGTTGAGGGACAGAAACCACATTTACCATTCGAGGAGCGGCGGCCATATTCAGAGAGAGCGGAGGCATGTAATGAACCTGGTGGGGTTCTACAAAAGCCTGTGAGGTATAAGGCGGCGCGTGAGGTGGATTCAAGGACTGTGTAGTAACCATCGCCTGACCAAAGAAGGTAGAACTGGCTGGAAAACCTTGAGACTCCGGAAGCGTCCCTGAAGTGGCAGTTCCGGCAAAGGTCAATGTTGATGGATCAAAAGCAGCTGAGGCCCCAGCAGCAGGAGAGGCAATAGCTGAAGAAGCACCGTCATTGTTGGATCCATCAAAGCCGCCATCCGAGTTCTGCGTGGAGGAGGCGCTCGCCATACTGCCTTTTCGGCGAATCTCGCAAGCATAGATGCCAGCGTCAGAGGCAGAACCTCCATTAACTGCTTCGACGTATTTCTGCCCGCCTTCATAGGGATCACTACGAGCGGGTCCGACCGATAAATTATCAGCAAGGACGGAGGCGATTTCAGCTTGGGAAAAAAGGAAGACGCGGAGTTTGGCGGATCCATCACCAGAGACCTCTGCGAGCTTGTCGTACTCATCCATCATATTGTCGAGGTCCTCCGCTGAGGAGACGGAAACGAGAGCGTCGAGGTCTTCGTCAGGGAGTTGGTAACGAATCGCAACGGGAGCACCATAGGCATCCTTCATTTTCCGGCAAAGCTCAGGAAAGGTGGTGTCTCTCCGTACGGCAATGATTCGGGTCTGCCCACCAGCATATCGGAGCGCCCCGTCGCTGGGGCGGGGAAGGATTTTACCTCCAAAGCTGCAGAGGAGCTTGACCTTGCGGGCGGATGGTTGATCGTCAGCAGATTCGTCAGCAGCAGGGGAATCGCCGGCGGTAGAGCAGGAGGAGGGCGGGTAAGGGGAGGAAGAACTAGCGGTGAAAAGACAGCGGTTAGGGTTTAAATGGACGGGATCTTTGGGGACAGAATTCTGGTCGATGGCCATTCTAAGCTAGGGTTTTGGTGGTTGCTCGATCGAGGAGACCAATAAAAGAGCGTAGGAGGATGATGAGAGGAAGTGGATAGGAAAGTCGATTAGGCGTGCATGCGCAGTAAAGATCCCGCGACCGAAGGGTGGAGGGAACTGGATTGCTGCAGGGTAGACGGAGGACGTGGCGGAGGCCACGGAAGCGGTGACGGCGGTTGCGATTTAAGATGGTGGAGGCAGAGACACGAAGGCCGGCCTGCCTCCCGGCAGTACACTTCGGAAAGTGGGGAGGGAGACAGAAGTGCTCAAGTAAACAACGTCCTTCTTAATCCCTAAAGGGAAATTTTTTATTTTTATTTTGTATATCCAATATTTAAATTTTAATATTTATTTGTATAGCACTAAAAAATTTTAAATAGATCAAATTCACACTCTCTCATTAAACTAATAACTCCTAAATATTATTAATTCCTTCCAATGCATTTATCTCTTTTCTTCTACTTATCTCTTTTCGAGCGACCTCAAAGAAGAGATATTTGATCGCCTTTTCTAAAGGCTGCTCTTATCTCGCAAGTTTTGATCATGAGTTTAGGATATGTTTAAATTTATTTTTTTAATCTCTCTTCATCGTATTTTTATTTGGTCTGGTATCCTGACGTAGCTCTACATTCGGTGAGCAGTAAACAAGCGTCATGTGTTCTCATTATTTACCGTGCGGCCTAACAACCCAACCCGGAACGGACCCGGGAGTTTGCGTATTGCTCGATATTGCTAGGTATTGGTTGATTTTGCTCGACAAAAATGAAAAATACCATTTTGTGAAGACCAATATCTAGCAATATCGAGTTCTTTTAGGTATTACGCCGTATTGCTCGGTATTGGTCTTCACAGAACGGTATTTCTCGTTATTGCCAAGCAATACCTAGCAATAATGAGTAATACCTAGCAATACCGAGCAAATACCTAGCAATACGTGAACATAGTAATCCCGGATTCCGGTCCGAGTCGGGTCGTCGTGCCGCGCGGTAAAGAATAAGAGCACATGGCGACATATTATTGGCTACCGGACGTAGAGCAACATCAGATCACCTGACCTAATAATTTTTCCTCTTGATCTATCGTTATTTCTCTTTCTTCTTTCATATTTTATTATTACTATTTCTTTTAATTTTGGCCTTATGATGTTAGGGTTTAGTTGAAATATGTGTTTTTATGGATGTTTTCGACCTCTACATCTGCCATCATTTAACTACCACCCAACCACAATTATTGGACACTCACTGACCAATGCCCTAATGTAAAATCATTGTTGCCCAACAACTCTTGATTGGACCTTCACTATCGACCATGCTATTGGACCTTCGATACTCAACCACCGTCGTTTGGCCTTCATCGCCCAACTGACATCGTTGGACTACAGCATGGCCGATCTTGTTAGACAGCCTCTTAACATTAGCAACAAATAATTGCCTAATAACATTTTTGAACCATCGCTCAACCGCCACTATTAGACAACCCCCGATGCCATTGGAACACCACCTAGCACAGTCATTGAGCCATTGCCTAACCACTATCTTGAAAATTCACTCAATCGCAACATTTGTATCATTGGTTTTCAACCACCATTAGTTGATTATGATCATTAAATAATTGTGGCCCAACTATAATCCTTTTGAGCATCATCACCCGACTAGGATCTTTCGACCACCATTGTTCAATTATACTTCTTTGATATATGTTTCCTAATTATAGCCCTCCAACCACTATCACTTAACTATGGTCATCTAACTAGCATCACCCAACTATAGTCATCTAACCTTTGTGTCTCGATTATGGCCCTTCCGACCATCGTCATCATCGTTAGATCACGATCCTTCAAAGCATCATTATCTGACAACTTTTGGTTAAATACGATCCACTAAACAATATCACTTGTCTAGCTATTATCCTTTAACCAACATTGCCTAACTATGATCCACCAAACTCCGTTGCTTAACTACGATCCTTTCGACTACTATTGTCTGACCACGATCCTCCTACCATAATCGTCTAGCTATGGTCGCTCCACCTTTATCACATGACTAAGAACTATCTGACCACTATATCTCTACTATGATCATTTGACCTTTATTTCTCGACTATAATCTTTTTGACCACTGTGGTCCGACTACGGTCCTCCAACCATTATTGCATGTCTAGTCCCTCGAACTCCATTGCTTGATTACAATCCTTCTAACCATCATTGCTCGAATACATTCCTCCAACCTCCGTCACCCTACTATGAACCTTCAAACCACCATTGTTTAGCTACGATCATTCCTATCACAATCATCCGACCAGAATCCTCCACCATCGTCGCCTGATTATGACCCTCTGACCCTTATTGCAAAATGCAATCACCTGAGTTACAATCTTTTGACCATTATTGTCTGACTGCTCTGAAACATGTTAACTTCATCACTTACCATCACTAACAATGACAATGTACATTATTGACATCAACTGTAACTCCCAACTTCAGAACTTTGGTTTATGCTAAACTTCTTGATTTTTAATATTCTATTCTCAAAGGAGTACAACCAAAACAACAAGCATATGATCTATAAAAGACAACTCTCATATTATAGGGCTCTTCCAACTTCAACAAGACAATATGTTCTTCATATTATATCAATGTCTTCTCTCATTGAAAGACATAATTAGTAATCAATAATAGATACTACCGAAATCATTTTAACTGGGCTAGACCCTATATTTTTTTCCCTTTCCTAGTTTTTCTACGTAAATACTCAGATGTCTCTTATAATTCTTGCAATTCATTTTTAATATGCGTGTATGTTCGCTATTCTTCTAATGTTAAGACGTTAAACTCTCTATCTCTCTACCATCTCAAATATTCCGACACACCATTAAAGTTTTCCTTTATCTAATCATATCTCTAAATGTAACAGGGAGATCCATACCTAATAATAAAATTAAAAAAAAAAAAAAATGTACGCGTGCAGCTAGACAATGAAGATAAAAATAAATTAACATTTTAATTGTGAAGCTATAAAATCAAACGAAATATACATTGGATTAAAAGAAAAAAAAAAATATTATGTATAATCCCTTGAAGAAAATCCCCCTTTTTGCCTGTAATTTTATATGAAGGGAGGTGTAAATGAGTATAGCCGAATCAAGCTCGAGTCAACCCTGACTTGAGCTTGAGCTTGATTAATTAATCGAGTTCGAGCTAGAGATCGAGCTATATTCTACGAGTTCGAGCTGACTCACAAGTGACTAATTTATTATGAAAGAAAGAAAATGATTATGATTTAAGTAATTATTATAATAAAGTCATTTAAAGAATGAAAAATTATAAGAAAATTAATAAAAAATACTAAATATAAGAAATTGTGATATAATTTTTAAGTATTTTTGATAATTTTATACTTAAAATCATGAATTCTAATTGATACATCACGTAAAAATAATCTTGATTGGGCCTCTTGGTGTTCATTCATTTTTCCTGTTTGTGTGTTAAACTTACGTACAACGCTCAGACGCGAATTTACAAACTCTACCGCCGCGTATTTTCTAACACGCAACACTAATATATTTTAAGTATATTTTATATTAATATTTTCTAAACGAACAGTCACACGAGTCAACTTGACTCAATTACACCCCTAAGAGGAACTGATTTTATACTATTAAGGGATAAACTTTATAGAATAAAGGGTTTTTTTTTAATGTATTATAAGTTTTATTTTAAATGAGCAAGATTTATATTAGTATGAGATGATTTAAAGTATCCGTATTTTTTATTTATGGATGATAAATGACATAAAATAAAAAATGTATTAATAATGTGAATGTTTATTGACTTTATATAAAATAAAGAAATAAATTACAAATGATGACTTTCTTAATAAAAAATAGAAAACTTAATCAATGATAACTTTGTTTAATCATATAATTTATCTTTTTTACGATAACAAAATTTTAAAATCATCAATGTCAGTTTCAAGTTTGAATGAAAAAAGTTGAGAGAATTTTTAAAATATAAAAATTGTGTCCAATAAGAAAAAAAATTCTGGCTCTTCCACTACGTACTTGCAAGTATTGGGAAGTAGACCTATAAATTCTTTAATTGATATATTTAATATTAAAAATAGATGCATGTTAGATAGTAATCCTATGTAAATTAAAAATTATGAAATAGTTTTTGTAGTATTTTGTTTGGGACGACTTTCTTACTACTGCTTAAAGTAGCTAGTTTTTTTAATAAAACAATTTAAATTTTTGTACTAAAAAACTGCTTTAAGAAACAGAAAGAAAGCCGTCCCAAACAAGTCCTTAGTAATTTACGCTTCGTTTGGAACAACTTCTTTGTTGCTTTCTAAAGCAGTTTTTTAGTTCAAAAAATTTTTATACTAAAAAATTGCTTCAGAAAACAAGAAGAAAACGATTCCAAATGAAATCTTAAACCCCTCAATATAAATATATCATATTTAAAGTAATTAAATCATGCTTATTATAAAATCGTTGATAATGTATGATATGTACTTGAAATATAAAATATAAGAAGATGTAAACAATTCTTAACATACGATATTTCTACTGTAAGGGCTTCGCTTTGAAGAATATTGATCAGGCTTAATTAAGACCATCTCCAACGGAAAATTACATTTTTCACTCCAAAATGCCGTGAAATTTAAAAATGCCGCGATTCATTTCTAATTGAACTTCATTTTGAGAAGGTAACGATCTTTTTTTTTTCTTTCGCGCGCTTCTTGTCAAGTTCGGTAGACTGAGAAAAATAGCGATGATGAACAGTTCAACGTCAATATTGGCGTCCTACTGTTCACCCGCATGGAAATAGCGGAAGTTTCACCGTTCAGCTGAAGTTCGGAGGCGACGGCATTCAAACATTTGGAGTTCCGTTAGAGATGCCCTAACATTTTCATTATAATCATAGAGATGCCTCTTTACAATAATAGGTATCGGCATCCTTCTGAGAAGATATGATGAGAAAGGTATATTTTCTAATGTTACGAATGGCTTGCTTTTGCGACTTAGGAGGTTTTATTTAAAATAATTTTTTTGGCTGCTTTTATATTAAGAAAAATAATTAGTAACAGATACTGTGTCTTTGGAAAACATCTTTTCACCATCATTTTGATTTTTTCCATTTAAAAAGTTATATTTGGAAAAGTGATTTTGAAATTATGGTTGAGACTTCATTTGTGGAGTAATTATTTTGTGCGGACACCGAACGTCGTTCAGAATCGAATGAAAATATGTCACATCACTCGGTATCGCAGCTCGGTACCACTCGATATCAGGTGACGTGGCGCATTTTCACTGGGCTCCAGACTTTTATTGTG